TGTGACTCTGCACACCCTGTCCCCTTCACCTGGAGCCCCCTCCCCTGTGTGACTCTGCACACCACCCTGTCTCCTTCACCTGGACCCCCTGGTGTGGTGAGGCCAGAGACCTAGTAGATGGCCCCGTGGGCAGTGCACATGTTCCTGAGGAAGACGGCTCGCTGCCGGGAAGAGGGCTGGACCCGGCATGACTCCCTCAGTGCCGATGCCCGACCCCGTGGAGGCCAGGTGGCCCTGAGCAGAGCCCTGACTCCAGCAGGATGCGTGCTCGTTGTCGGCTTGCTGCCACTGCTGGGTCGTGGTTGTTGGGGTCCCTGTGTTTTGACCTGTCCAGAGAGTGCTCAGCAGTGCCATCCGATGTAATAACCCTCGTGGTTGTCGTGTCTTTGCTGCAGGGAATCGTGGGGAACTTGGCCAGCGGCAAGTCCGCCCTGGTGCACCGGTACCTGACGGGCACATACGTCCAGGAGGAGTCTCCGGAAGGTATGCCATTGGGCGGGTGGTTAGTCGCAGGCTTTAGGGAGTTTAGGCTCTTGATGTTTTTCTTTAGCATATTCTAAATCATTGCTTTGACCTGTCACATGCCAAGAAACACCACGCGGTAAAGATCCTGGCGCATGCAGTTCCTCCYGTAGGGACTGAGGGCCGGTTACGCGCGGTCTGGCGTTGGGAGCACTGGAGTAGAACCGAGAGAAGCTGCTGAATGTGTTTCCGTCTAACGGTCCTGTCCTTGGAGGCGCTGGTCCAGTGCTCCTTCTCTAAATATGGGCTGGACGTGGTCCACTCTGGGGGTGGAGTCCATGCCGACTCCGACCTAGTGCTCTCAGCCTCGCTGSCAGCTTCTCTAGATGAGTCCTCAGGCCCCCCACCCCGCGCTGGAGCAGGCGTGTCCCCGCATAGTGCCATTGCCCACTGAGCGAGGCATTTCTCCTTCTTCTGTTAACATGTCCACGTATTGTCCTTTGCTTTAAATGACAATGACAAAGGCAGGAGCCCTTTAGCGCCCCGTCAGGTGTAGTGTGCAGGCAGTTTTGTAAGCTGTGTATTTTCTCTCCTTGTGACTGTGACTCCACCTCTGAGACACTGAATTTCTGGTTCCTTCTCTCTCTCACCGGCTGTTCCATTCTTTGCAGATATGGATGCAGGTAACTACCGTCTCCTCCATGGCAGCTTGTCTTGTGGGGAGCGCGAGGAGAGCCCGACTGTGCTGTAGCGTTCCCTCCCTCCTCGTCCTGTGTTCCATCCTGTCTYGTTTCATTTCACCTTTTTTTTAGTTCGGCATTCCACCCTGTTCTGTCCCCTAGCTGTGTTTTGAGCAGTAGTTGTCAGTAGCGTCACGTGTCCCCTGTAACACCTGTGCTGGCCTTAACTCTCCTCCCGGGGCCTGTGGAACCTTCAGGGCCAGACTCCCCTGGGGCTTCGCCTGGGTCTCCGCGGCCTGGGGCAGGACTTGGTGGTGTTGAGACACCTCTTGGTGGTCCTCGGGAAGGCCACCCTGAAAACCTCCCTGCTAAACGGTGATCTGGGACGGTCAGAGGCTCAGAGAGAGCTTGTGTGCTGGAGCACAGGAGAAAAGACTGTTCRCCCAGGAGAGAGAGCAGGTGCTTGAACACGCATGGCCCAGACAGTAGGAAGGGGGGTGCTGCCACCGGTGTCTTCCTCCTTCCTGGGTGCCCCTGGGGCCCAGGGTTTGACTTGTCCCTTTGCGTCTAGGGTGAGCGGTAGCCATAGCCGGGTAGCTTATCCAGAGGAGAGCTGTGTAGAGTTTGTGTCTTGGCTTTCCACTTCTCGGGCTTGCGGTTGTAGCGTTAATGGCATCAGGTGCTGAGGATCTKCGGCTGGCTTGACTGTGGGGAAGCGGGGTGCACCTTTTCCAGGGAGTCTGCCTCCAGCACCCCTCSCTCTCCATTCCAGTCTGGGGTGGCTGGAAGTCCCGGATCCAGCCCCAGTCTTGTTGATCGTACCCTGGCCTTGCTCAGATGTCCGCAGTTGCAAGCTCTACAGAGGGACAGCCAGGGCCTCAGCGCTCTCGGGAGCCCGCCTGCCTGACTTTGGTCATGGTCATGCTCTGTGCCTTTCCTTGGGGGTGCTTGCTTTGTCCTGACATACCGGTGCTCAGCTGTAATCTTTTTTTTGCACTGCATAACAGGCCCTTGTATTTTGATAAATAGGAGACTTTTCTTTTGAATGTTTGTGCATCAGTAGTGAAAGCTGTCCCCAGCCTGGTGGCCTTACTGTGGTCACTAACAGCCCCACTCGTTGGTTTTCTGGGTAGCACTTGCCGCTGCACTGGAATTCCATCGTGGCACCTGGGCTTCTAGTCACAGGTTATTTTAAAGGGTAGGAGCATGTGAGGGGACATCCCTTTCTTCATCAGGGGCCCGTGCCAAGGGCTCCTGGATCCAGGGAGAGGTCGTTTGTGATCTCTGCTCACGGCTAGGAGCTCACCGGGGCCACCTCTTTGCTTGCCTTTTGACCTGGTTCGCGGTGTTCTGTGGGAGCTGGGAGCAGCGCCATGCCCAGGTGCACCCCCATGGGGAGGCACAGGGCCTCCGGATGCTGAAAGAACTCTGATGCCAGGCAGCCCCTCAGCCCTGGCGTTTCCCCAGAGCTGGGCACACAGTGCTCTCTGGAACCAGGCAGCAGCTACTATCTTGGCCTCTCGTAGTGGACTAGGGCACTGACTTCTACTTCCTGTCTCTGTGGCCTAGGAGGAGTGGCAGCGGGGAGAGGAAATGAGTGAGATCAACTGTGATTTCCCTCATGCCAGTTTTGCCATACCTTCCACATTGGCAGGGAGCCTGAAGTGGTTTCAGTTCTTATCCAGTGAGTTAATGTCAGTCGGTTGTCTGTCAGTCGATTGTTTGTGCTTGCTTAAATTAAGAAACTGCATAGACAGAATGTTCTGGATTGGGTATATGATTTACTGTGTTGTCACCTTGTCACCYTGGTATGTGGAGGGTCCTAGGGTGATGTGAGTCATCTTGGCGTGTGCAGGAACTAAGTAAACTATTACATAACCCCATGGTGGGCATGGTCTGTGCCTGCTAAGGCAGTGGGTTTACAGAAAATTGTGTGACCTTTCCATTTCTTGGTGTTACTGTTGTCTTCTGAGTTTTCCTCTGTGTTGGTCCAGTTTTCGCTGCTGTAACAAAATACTTGTGGCTGGGTACTTTACAAAGAAAAAAGATTTTTAAATTCATTGTTAGGGAGCTCAAAGTCTTAGATCAGATGGCCCCAATTATTTGGCATCATGGAGGGAGCACGTGGGAGAGGGATAACAGAGTGAGGCAGGAAGATGGAGAGGCCAGGGGCGAGTGTTGCTCTTTCCTAATGGTCCTCTCTTGAGATCCACATTATCCCTGCCAAGGGCAGTAGGCTGTGCCTCCCGGGACTGGTCACCTGGTGCTGAGCCCAGCTCTCAAAGGTCTCACCACTTCCCAGCAGCACCGCACTGGGGAGCCAGCTTCCTACATGCCAGTCATTTGGGGACACACTCAGACCATGTTCAGGACACCCAGCCACTTAGCTCTTGTGAGTCTGGAGCAGTCAGCTGCATGGCTGCTCTGGCTGGGCGTGCTGCTTCGGGTGTGGGTGAGCTGCCATCCCCGCCGCTCGTGGGGTTCTCCGCCCTTCCTGCCGGCCCACGGTGGCTCCTCTGAGGTAAAGAACACGCTGCTGTCTTTGCGGGGATTCTGACCTGCGCCTGGGATGTTGAGATTGCTGGAGAGGTGAGTGGTGGGACACGGCAGTTGCAGAAGAGCTTTCTGGGTCGGAGTGTGTCTGGGCAGAATCATGTCCGGGGCCCAGAGTGCCTTCCATCCAGTCCATCTCGGCTGGATCCCAGAGGTGACATCATCTGGACTTACAAGATTTAGTAACTTTAGAGATGCAGTCTGAACGAGGGAGGGTATGGGGTATCACACTTAATAGCAGTTCTGCCTGGTGACGAGTGCAACAGTGGGGTCTCGTGGGGAGTCTGTGACTCCCAGACAGGAGCTTGGAGGGAGCAGCCTCTGTGGGGGCACAGTTCTTGGTGTGTCCGAGTGAGTTTAAGTCCTCGGGGCCTCTGTGGCAGGCCACATGCTATGGGGTGAAGAGCAGAGGTGTATCCTCCAACAGTTCTGCAGGCCGGAAATCCAGAATCACTGTTTTGACAGGTTGTTCCCCGAGACTCTGTCCAGGCCCCTCCCAGCTGCCGAAGTCCAGCACCCTGTGGGCTCCTGGGCTGGTAGACACGCCCAGCCCTGCCTGTCGGACAGCGCTGCCCTCCTGGGAGGCAGTGGTCCGCCACACACCCTATTCCAGTGTGATCTCGCACCTTAGGCTACAAAGACTGATTCCAGTGCTCCACACAGGGTCGGAGAGGGTCCGTCACGCCCACCGGTTGGCTGGCAGGAGCCCCGCTCAGAGCTGCTGAGGCCGGGCCCTTCCCCTCCGTTCTTGYTGGCCATAGAAGCTTGAGGAGGAGGAGGACAGGAATCGGCTTGCCTGTGACCTTCACACCCCTGAGGGGCATTTCACAGTGCCAGAAAGAGATGCACGGAGCCCAGCGGAAGCCCTCGGAAACGCAATGGCGTCAGGAAAACAGAAGGTCGAGGTGTTTGTGCTGGCAACATCCTTAGGACTCAGCGCCAATTCTGCTGGCACCCAGGTGCCCAGGTGGGGCTGGGGAAGAAGTGCCTGCSACCCTGGAGCAGGGGATAGTCTCCTACATGCGAGAGGTCTACATGCCTGGTCCCAGACGCTGAGCTCTACCAGACCCGTGTCTGCGTTGTTCCTGCCGAGCCTGGAGGCGTTTCCGACTGGTGGCTGTCTTTGAAGTCCTGGTTGAAGCCTTGGGTCAGAGACTGGAGTCCAGGTGACAGGACAGGGTGAAGGCATCAGTGGCCTCTAAGGGAGAGGTCTGTTGGGGGGTGACTTGGCCAGAGACTCGGAATCGCTGCCAGACACCCTTTGGGAGACCTGATCTGGGCTCAATAAAGCCTACTGCAGTCATAAATAATCAGATTGTTTCTGGAATGAAGCTGTGCTCTTTGCTAGTGCCACCTTTTCATCCAAATCTAGAATGAATCCACCTCTGGAGGCGAAGGTGGCTTAAAGGTGGTGGGAGGAGGACAGGGCCTGCCAGCCCCTGTGAGGGGACGGGGTGAGGCCCAGTGGTGACCTCGCCTGCTGTGGTTGCCCACCGGGATTGGCTGAAGGGCTGTAGCCAGGCAGGGCATGGGAGCAGCTGGCCCTCTTCCTGGGAACCCATGAGTCAGTGTATCGGGGACCCATTGCTTCGGTCACTGAAGCTTTAGTTTCTTGTTAGCTGTTAACCAGCTCAAATTCTGGGCTGTTGAAGTCTTGGCACCCCAGAATCTGTGTGGGCCCGCAGCGGCCTGGCCCTTCCCTCCAGGGCAGTAACTCAGGCTCTGTCTCTGCTGTCCTGATTGTCCCAGCAGTGACTGCACAGGACGCCCCCCGGCCCTGCATCTGTGCAGCAGCAGCCTGGGTCCCTGGACCCGCTCCTCCCCTCCCCCAGTGGAGAACAGTGGCTCTCCCTGGGAAGCTGGCCCCGCCTGCGTCCAGCGTTTTTCCAGCAGAATAGGCTGAGGGCGTTGGAGGAATCCAGGGACTGGATTAGGGCAGATCTCCCAGTCGGGGACTCTCCAGAGCTGGGCACAGATGGCAGTGTCCCCCAGGTGGAGAAGGGGCCTGGGTTCTCCTGTGTAAGGGGAAGAGTCTGAAATGACGAGGGAGATGGAAAACCCCGAATGTCCTCCAGGGGGGAGAAGCTTGGGAGAAAACTAAAGATGTGGTTACACCCRGAGGTAAGGACCAGCTCAGCACAGACGTCCTGGTGCCCTCGGGGCTTGGTGGCAGGACTCCCTCGGGTAACCAAGGCTGGGCACTCCAGGCCCCAAGGGAGGACGGCCCGGGCTYTGCATGCCATCTTCACAGTCTTCACATGCTGTGAGTCTCTAGGTCACGTATGAAACCTGAAATGTGCATGCTGTGTGAGCCGTTGTCATTCCGTGTTTTGAGGGAGCAGTGACAGAAAAGGAGTCGGTGTGTTCAGTGCAGACGCGGTTCTTGTTTTTTTGAATAGACTTTTTAAAATATTCCCCGTCCTGGCTGGCGGAGCCCATGGAGCTGGGCA